GACACCAGAGTGAACTCCTCGTCCACTGGGAAAAGAGAATAATGGGATAACGGGATCATGGGAATGGCCGGAGTCACACCAGGAATGGGAACAGTCAGAGTCACCCTGGGGGAACGAGAATGGGAATAGGAACGGGAATGGGAATGGGAACAGGAATGGGAACTGGAACAGGAAGGGGAATGGGAATAGCCAGACTCACCCTGGGACAACAGGAATAAGAATGGGAATGGCTGGAGTCACCCTAGGAATGGGAATGGGAATAGGAACGGGAATGGCCAGAGTCACCCTGGGAATGGGAACAGCCACAGTCACCCTGGAAACAAGGGACAGCCACGGGATAATGGGAATGGCAACAGCTGGAGTCACCCAGGGAAAACGGCAATGGGAATAGGAATGGGAACAGGAATGGGAACAGGAATGGGAATGGCCAGAGTCACACCGGGAATGGGAATAGGAATGGGAATGGTCGGAGTCATCCGACAGGAACAGGGAATGGGAACAGGAATGGCTGGAGTCACCCCGGGATAACAGGAATAGAAACTGCTGGAGGCATCCTGGGAGAACGGGAACAGGGAATAGGAACAGCCGGAGTCACCCCAGGAGAATGAGAACGGGAATGGTCGGAGTCGCCCCGGAAATGGGAACAGGAACGGGAATGGGAACAGCCAGAGTCACCCTGGGAGAACGGGAATGGGAACGGGAACGGCCAGAGTCACCTTGGAATAACAGGAATGGGAACGGCTACAGTCACCATGGGAATGAGGGACAGCCATGGGATAATGGGAATGGAAGCAGGAATGGGAATGGCCCAAGTCACCCCAGGAAAATAGGAACGGGAAAGACCCAGCCCCGTCATCCCATTATCCCACCATTCCCAGCCCCGTTATCCCGTTTTCCCACCATTCCCATCCCGTCTCACCCCTCTGGCACTCGGATTCCGCCGGGAGCATCCCCTGGTAGACGTGATAGGGGAGGAGCCTCCTCAGGGCGTCGCCCACGGAGCGGAAGCGGGTCCGGAATTCCGGGTGCAGCACCGAGCCCTGGTGCTTGTGCAGCTGCTCCAGGAGGCTGCGGTTGGGATTCGGGATGCAATTCCCAAGTTAGGGACGGAATTCCCCCTTCTCAGCGTCCACAAGGACAAAATTCCCCCTTTCCCGGCGTCGCCGCCCGTGGAATTCCCAGGTTTTTTTATGCATTCCTGGACAGAATTCCCAATTTGCAGAACAAGTGGGGACGGAATTCCCTGTTTCTGGCACCGACAGGAACAAAAATCCCAAATTTCCCACAAAATTCCCAGATTTCCCACATCAACAAGGACAAAATTCCCCGTTTCTGGCAGTAATGTTGACAAGAATCCCAAATTTCCCACAAAATTCCCAGATTTCCCACATTAACGAGGACAAAATTCCCCATTTTTGGCATCAATGGGGACAAAAATCCCAAACTTTCCCCCAAAATTCCCCATTTCCGGCCTAAATGGGGCCAGAATTCCCGGCTCCCGGCCCCGTCCCGGCCGGAATTCCCAGCCTGGAGTGTTCCCAGCATTCCCAGTATTCCCAGTACTCACCAGGCCTCCTTACTGGGCTGCAGCGCCGGCGCCTTCTTCAGCCCCTCCAACTGCGGACACAGGGGGGAAATCCCGGGATTTGGAGGCAATTCCCGGGATTTGGGGGAGATTCCCAGAATTTGGGGGCGATTCCCAGGATTTGGGGGTGATGCCCAGGATTTGGGGATGATTCCCGGGATTTGGGGGCCATTCCCGGGATTTGGGGGCAATTCCCGGGAATTTGGGGGCAATTCCTGGGATTTGGGGATGATTCCCAGGATTTGGAGACAATTCCCGGAATTTGGGGTTGATTCGCGGGATTTGGGGCCATTCCCAGGATTTGGGGGAAATTCCTGGGATTTAGGGGCCATTTCCAGGATTTGAGGATTCCCAGGATTGGGGGGGGGGGATTTTCAGGATTTAAAGGAATTCCCAAGATTTAAGAGAAGTTTCCTGGGATCTGGAACCATTCCCAGGTTTAGGGTGAATTCCCGAGGGGAAATTCCCAGGATTTGGGGGCGAATTCATCGGATTTAGAGCTTTCCCCGGGGATTGAGAGTTGAATTCCCAGGATTTGGGAGAATTCCCGGGATTTGGGGGTGAATTCCCGGGATTTGGGGACTCACCATCGTCTGGGGGCCCTTTCCCCCCCCCGGGGTCTGGGGGGGGCCTTTGATCCCACCCGGCTTCGCCTGCGGAAAACCGGGAAAACCGGGATGAACGCGGGAATTCCCGGGGATGGGAAAGGGGGGAGACGCCCGAGGGGGGGAAAAGTGGGAATAAACGGGGAAAAGTGGGAATAAAAGAGTGGAAAAATGGGGAAAACTGAGAATAAAAGGGAGGAAAACTGGGAATAAATGGGGGAAACTGGGAATAAAAGAGAGGGAAAATGGGGAAAACTGGGGATAAAAGAGAGAAAAACTGGGAATAAATAGGGAAAAGTGGGAATAAACAGGAAAAATTGGGGATAAATGGGGAAAACTGGGAATAAATGGGGAAAACTAGGAATAAAAGAAAGAAAAAACGGGAAATACGGAGAAAAACTGGAAATAAAAGGGAGGAAAAATAGGGAAAACTGGGAATAAATGGGGAAAACTGGGAATAAAAGGGCGGAAAAATGGGGAAAACTAGGGATAAGAGGGAGGGAAACTGGGAAATAGGGAGAAAAACTTGGGAAAAAAGTGGGAAAAGGGGGGAAAGAAAATAAAAATTGGGATCTGGAGGGGGAAATATGGGAATAAACGAGAAAACTGAGGGAGAAAGGAGGAAAACTTGGGAAAAAAACGAAAAAATCTTGGGAAATAAAAGCCAAAAAGGGGGAAATGCAGGAAAAAAAAGTAGGAAAACCAGGATGGAAAAGGGGAAAATGTTGGAAATAAAGGAGAAAAGTGGGAAAAGAAGAAGGAAAAGGGGGAAAGGAGTGGGAAAAGTTGGGAAAAGAGGAGGAATTCCCAGGAAAACGCCCCCTCACCTGGTTGGGTTGCTGAGGCGGGGCCTTGCCCGGAGCCGGGGCCCCTTTCCCGGCGGGAATGGCGCTGGAAATGCCGGGAATGCTGGAGAAGGGTTTGCTCTCCGAGGGGGCTCCTGGACAGGGAACACAGGGAAGGGTCAGATCCAGGAAAATCCCAGAGATTCCGGGACTGGGAAGGGTCAGAGCCTGGAAAATCCTGGAAAATCCTGGAGATTCCTGGCTCCAGACATCCCTGGAATGCTTGAAAGGGTCAGATCCTGGAAAATCCCGGAGATTCCCAGCCTGGGAAATCCCAGGAAGGGTCAGATCCGGGAAAATCCCGGAGATTCCCGGCCTGGGAAGGGTCAGAGCCCGGAAAATCCCAGAGATTCCCAGCCTGGAAAATCCCAAGAAGGGTCAGAGCCAGGAAAATCCCGGAGATTCCCAGCCTGGGAAAGGTCAGAGCCTGGAAAATCCTGGAAAATCCTGGAGATTCCTGGCCTGGGACATCTCGGGAATGCTGGGAAGGGTCAGATCCAGGAAAATCCTGGAGATTCCCGGCCTGGGAAATCCCAGGAAGGGTCAGATCCAGGAAAATCCCAGAGATTCCCAGACTGGGAAATCCCGGGAAGGGTCAGAGCCCGGAAAATCCCGGAGATTCCCAACCGGGAGATCCCGGGAATGCTGGAGGGAGGGAGGGGGAATAAGGGAAGGGCCCGGGTTGGAATTCCGGAGGGATTCCCCAAAGGGAGGCTGGAAGACTGGGAGCTGGGAGACTGGGATTTGGGAGACTGGGGTGGGGGAATATTGGGATGTTGGGATGCTGGGATTTGGGATACTGGGGTTTGGGATACTGGGGTTTAGGATACTGGGATTTGAGATATTGGGATTGAGAATACTGGGATGGTGGAATACTGGGATGTTGGGACACTGGGATGTTGGGATACTTGGATTTGGGAGATTGGGATGTTGGGATACCGAGATCCTGGGATATTGAGATATTGTGACTCTGGAATTCCAGGATCTCGGGACTTGGGGGATTCCGGAACACTTGGGATTTTGGCTTTCCAAAACACTGGGACTCTGGAATTCCAGAATCCTGGGATTCCGGGATGTTGGGCTGCTGTGGGACTCCGGAATTCCAGGATTTTGGGGCTGCTGTGTGACCCCGGAATTCCAGGATCCCGGGATTTTGGGAATGCCGTGGGACTCTGGAATTCCATGATTTTAGAATGCCGTGGGACTCTGGAATTCCAGGATTCTGGGACGTTGTGGGACCCTGGAATTCCAGGATTTAGGGCTGCCATGGGACTCTGAGATTCCAGGATTTTGGAAAGCTCTGGGACTTTGGAATTCCAGGATTTGGGGCTGCTGTGTGACCCCGGAATTCCAGGATCCCGGGATTTTGGGAATGCTGTGAGACTCTGGAATTCCTCGATTTTGGGCTGCCGTGGGACTCTGGAATTCCAGAATTCTGGGACGTTGTGGGACTCTTGAGATTCCAGGATTTTGGAATGCTCTGGGACTCTGGAATTCCAGGATCCCGGGATTTTGGGCTCCTGTGTGACCCCGGAATTCCAAGATTCTGGAATGCTGTGGGACCCTGGAATTTCAGGATTCCAGGATCCTGGAACTCCATAGGACTCTGGAATTCCAGGATGCCGGGATTTCGGACTGCTGTGTGACCCCGGAATTCCCGGGATTTCGCGTTCCCACCTGCGTTACTGGGCGTGGCGGGGGCGGGTCCGTGGGCGGGGCCGGGCGTGGCCGTGGGCGTGGCCGTGACCAGGACGGAGGCTCCGCCCGGAGCCGGGAACGTTCCGGGGCTGGACGGGGGCGGCTTCGGCTGCAGGATCAACCCCTGAGGGACCTGGAACGGGAACAGACACAACCCCAGATCACAACGGCCCCACAATTCCCAAATCCCGCGGGAAACGGAGCCGGGAGAGCCCCCGGAAACCCCAAATCCAGAGGGATCCAACCCCCAGATCCCAAGAATGATCCTGACCCCTAAATCTCAAATCCAGAAGAATCAAACCCCCAGATCCCAAAAAAAATCCCCAAAGCCAGAGGAATCCAACAACGTTGGGGATCCCAACAACGACCCCGAATTCAAAGAGATTTGGCACCAGGATCCCCCCAAAATTCCCAAATCCTGGGGGGAAACAGAGTCGGGAGAGCCCCAGAAACCCCCAAATCCAGAGAAATCCAACACCCGGATTCCAGAAAAAAAAACCAATCCAGAGAGATCCAACCCCCAGATCCCAAGAACGACCCGAAATCCAGAGAAATTTGGCACCAGAATCCCCCCGAAATCCCAAATCCAGAAGGATCAAACTCCCAGATCCCAAGAACGACCCCAAATCCAGAGAGATTTGGCACCAGGATCCCCCTAAATCCCAAATCCCAAGAAAAATCCCAAATCCAGCAGGATTCGGTTCCTGAACACCCCAAATCCAGTGGGATTCAGATTCTGAAAACCCCAAATCCAGCAGGATCCAGTTCCTGGATGCCTCAAATCCAGTGGGATTTGATTCCTGGATGCCCCAAATCCAGTGGGATTTGGTTCCTGAATATCCTAAATTCAGTGGGATTTGGTTCCTGGATGCCCCAAATCCAGTGGGATCCAACAACCGACCCCCAAAATCCCAAATCCAGCCGGATTCGAGGCCAAACTGAAATTTGGGAAGGGGGGTTTTTATCCCAAAAAAATGGGATCGCGCTTCCAATTCCCGCCATTCCGACACCTTTTCCGAGAATTTGGGAACCAAGAAACTCCCCGAATTCCCCCCCAAAATTCCTGCAAAACAGCGGGATGGGGGAATTTTCTGGGATACCCCGAACCGGGGAGGGAGAGGTTGGACAGGGGGCGTCTCATTCCCGTTTTCTCGGGAATTCCCGGCGGGATTTACCTGCTGGAACCTTTCCAGGCCGGGCTTCGGCGGAGCAGGAGGAGGAGGAGGAGGAGGAGGAGGAGGAGGAGGAGGAGCAGGATTGGGATTGGGATTGGGAATGGGGTTGGGAATGGGCTGGAAAGCCCCTGGCAGGAGGTGCAAGGGGGGGTTTTTTCCCGATCCCAGCGGGATTCCCGGGAAATGGGGGGACTGGGAATGCTGCTGCAGCTCCGTAGAGGCGGAGGAAGAGGAGGAGGATTCCGGGATGCCGAAGAGGCTTTGGGGATTTTGGGAAGCCTGGGGATTTTGGGAATTCTGGGGGGTGCAGGAGCGCGGGGGGGGCGGCTCCGAGGGCGGCCGGGGTTGGGAAGGGGGTCGGGAATGGGGTCGGGAAGGGGGGCGGGAAAGGGGTTGGGGTTGGGAAGGGGGGCGGGGCGGGAGCTGAGCCGGGATTTGGGTTGGGATTTGGGTTGGGATTTGGGATGGGAGCTGGGATGGGATGGGGGGGGCGGCGGGAAGGGCCGGGGGGTCCCCGGGGGACGTTCCCGATCCCGTTCCCGTTCCCGGGAGCTTCGGCTGCAACACACAAAGGAAAACAGGCACAAGGTTAGTCCAGAGGGGAAAGGGGGGGGGGAAAAGGCAAAATCCCGGGAAAAACCCTCAGGAAAGGCTGGAACAACCCCCCCCCAGGATCCCTTGGAGCCCCAAATCCATCCCAAATCCGCTCCTTGGGGGATTTTGGGAATAAAAATGAAGGAAAACCACTCAAAGATCCATTCCCAAAGTGGTTCCAAAAGTGGATTATCCCGGGGAAAACCCACTGGGAGAACCTGGATAACCCCCCCAGGACCCTCTGGAGCCCCATCCATCCCAAATCCATCAATTGGGGGGTTTTTGGGATGAAGGAAAAGGGAAAACTGAAGGAAGATCCATCTGTGGATTCCCAAAGTGGCTCCAAAAGCAGCTCCAGGATTAAATTATCCCGAAAACCCCCCCTGGGAGGACCAGGATAACCCCCCCCCAGGACCCTTTGGAGCCCCAAATCCATCCCAAATCCATCAATTACAGAGTTTTATTCCCAGTTTTGGGAATAAAAATGAGGGAAAACCACCCAAAGATCCACCTGTGGATTCCCAAAGTGGCTCCAAAAGCGGCTCCAGGATTGAATTATCCCGGGAAAAACTGGGATAACTCCACCCAGGACCACTTGGAGCCCCATCCATCCCAAATCCATCAATTGGGGGGTTTTTGGGAATGAAAATGAAGGAAAACCCCCCGAGGATCCACCTATGGATTCCCAAAGTGGCTCCAAATGCAATTCCAAGAGCAGATTATCCAGGAGTGACTCCAAGATTGGATTATCCCGGGAAAAGCCCACTCTGGAGGTCCCTAAATTCCCCCCTGGGGACCCTTTGGATCCCAAATCCATCCCAAATCCAGGGAAAACTCCCCCCCTCGACCCTCTGGATCCCAAACCCGCCTCGAATCCCACTTTTCCGGGGGTTTTTGGGCAGCAGGAGAAGGGAAAACCCCGGGAGGCTCCAGATGGGAATTCCCAAGGAAGCGGCTCCGGGTCGGAATCGACTCCAAACCCCGGAAAAATCCCATTTCCCACTTTGCTTCCCAAAAAATTCCCCCATTCCTGTTTTTTTTTCCCACTCCGGGGATGATTTTGGATGGATTCAAACCCCCCCATTCCCCTCCCAGGGAGGATTTCCAAGGTTTTTCCCAAATTCCCGGGGTTTTTCCCGAATTCCCGGAGTTGGGAACGGGTCTGACGCTGATCCCGAGGGATTTGGGCGGGGAAAACCCGGGAATTTTGGGATCCAAAGGTCCCGGGAGCGCAGGGAAAGCAGGAAAAGCAGCAGCTTCCAGGGTTAGTGAAGCCAAAGCGAGCGGGAAAAGCCGGGAACAGTCGGAAAAACGGGAATGAAGGGGGGGATCCAACCCCCCCCCCCGGCTCCAGCCCAGGGCGGGAAACTGGGAATTGGGACAATTGGAGGGGAAAAAGGGCTGGAAAAATCCCGGATTTGGGGCCTGGAAGCGACAAAATTCCCCCAAAATCCGTCGAAATCCGGGAGGTTCCTCCCATTCCTGGGAAATTCGGGGATGGATCCGGCGGGAAAAACCAGATGCCGGGGGGGGATTTAGGCGGGATCAGGGCAAAAAGGGAATGTTGGAATTGCAGGAATCCCATCCCAGATCCCGCTTTTCCGCCGCCGGATCCCAGTTTTCTGCTGCAGGATCCTGGTTTTCCGCCCCTGAATCCCGGTTTTCCGCTGCTGGATTCCTGTTTTTTTTCGCTCCCGGATCCCAGTTTTCCGCCGGATCCTGGTTTTCCACCCCTGGATCCTGGTTTTCTGCCCCTGGATCCCGGTTTTCCACCCCTGGATCCTGGTTTTCCGCCCCTGGATCCCAGTTTTCTGCTGGATCCCTGTTTTTGCCCTGCTGGATCCTGGTTTTCTGCCCCTGGATCCCGGTTTTCCACCCCTGAATCCCGGCTTTCTGCCCCTGGATCCCGGTTTTCCACCTCTGGATCCCGGTTTTCCACCTCTGGATCCTGGTTTTCTGCCCCTGGATCCTGGTTTTCCACTCCTGGATCCCAGTTTTCCCTTCCCAGGTCGTTCTCCCGTGTTCCCGGGGCCGTTTTTCCAGCAGGAAAAGGGATTTTTCCGGCCAGGAAATCCAGGAGCCACCGTGCTCCGATCCCATCAAAATTCCCATGGATTTGGGATCACCCGGGAAAAATCCCGCTGGGAACCACCAGAAAATCCCATCGGGAATGACCAGAAAATTCCACTGGGAATGACCAGAAAATTCCCCTGGGAATGTGGGAAATGCGGGCACGGAGCGGCCCCTCCCCCCCCGTTGGATTGGAAGGACAAACCCCCCAAATCCAGTGGGAAAATCCCAAATCCGTGGGAAGAGCGACAACGGAGCCGCTCCCGGGGCGGAAACGCCCGGAACAAACCCCAAAACTCAACAATGGCAACTCAACATCAACTCAACTCAAACTCAACCTCAACTCAACTCAACGTCAACCCAACGTCAACCTCAACTCAACTAAACGTCAAGGTCAACTCAACTCAACCCCAAATCAACATCAACTCAACCCCAACTCAACATCAACTCAAAATCAACCCAACTTCAACCTCAATCTCAACTCAACGTTGACCCAACGTCAACCTCAAGCTCAACTCAACGTCAAGGTCAACTCAATGTCAACCCAACTTCAATCTCAACTCAACCCCAACTCAACATCAACTC